CTCCACATTTCGCCCGTTTCCCATTTCCAAAATTGTCGCAATCTGGACGAACTCCTGTTTTCCTCTGCCCCCCTCCCCCAACTTCACTGATATCCATTCTTTCTTTTCTATCTCAGTCTTTTTTTAATTCCTACGCATTCAGTTAACACAAAGAAGACTATGAATTATACCAGGAGATATTTGTCCTAATGTGGGGTGTGAGATAGACTTACCTCCACGTGGAGCACCCTGGGCAACGTATACCCATACGGCAAAAGTCTATTAACTGACAATTGACTTCTGACTTCAAACTACCATCACTCCACTGTACGTCAGATTCGACTACTTCCACAATACTCGCCTCACATTTTTTTACTTTTTCTACCTTCGTCTTTGAAACACTCTTCTTTTCCCCCCTCTCGACTTTTTCACTTTGATGTTCCATCCCCTCTGTGAAGCCTGAAGTCAACTAAAGGGCTGATGATAACTATCAAAACGCCTGCCATTTGATATAAATAAATATTTGTCCTAATGTGGTCAATTTCACACAATTATTCGTTCCTATGATAAGTGCTGCTTCATCATGTCTATCTTCGTTCGAATTTCAATTTATTTACCAAAACTTCATCGCTTTCGGATCTTTATCGATTTGCACTCGCAAGTTATGTAGTATCACACACTTTTTATCCAATCTCCCATTATCATTTTCCCAGGTTCTCTAGATTGTTTGCCATTGAGAGTTTAGTAATTTTGCACACTGTCAGGCTCATGTAATATTTTGTTGGTAAAGCTACTGATTCTTCCTTATTTACGTTCTCAATACACACTAAACTGTATTAAAAGTTGATTACGAGGGAGCCCAGCACACATTCAGGCTCCTTCTGACGTATTGAGATGTGATTAAAGTAGCTTCAAAGTGGTGTCAAAAGGTTATTCTTCTTCATAGTGTGAAACAAATTGAAAGTTGTTTATTAAGACTGACAATCTTTGGCAAAAACGGGTGATTCTGAAAAAATGGCACCACTTTTTCAAAGAGAACGAGTATTAGTCCATTTCGATGAAAGCTGTATTGATGTATTCGATATGTTCATTGAACTTCGACAAAATGCAATTCATTAATGCTAAGTGCTTATTTTAATCCCACTTGTTGCTATCCGGTGTTCTTGAAACCTGGAGTTCTCCACATTTGCATCTTTTTCGTTATTAGAATAATTGTTTGTGATCGGTGTTCAAACCTTGAAAAGACCATTTCGATACTATCCACAGACATATTGCACGATCATAAATTTTCTTGAAGCACTTTTTTTAAATCCAGGCAAGAACTGAGTTTTTTCTGTGAAATCAATTTCATTAAGCGCCGTAAACCACCAGAGTAATTTAATTTACGAGTTCTCAAACCGATCGTAAAAATCATCCCCATAGGATCAATAAGCAGAAAAAATACAATCTCTAAGTCGTACTCAGATAGTTGAATTATTAGTTATAAATCAATTAAAAATATCGATTGCTTGTTATTCTATTAGATTTTTTGTCATCTTTTGATTATTATGCCCTTATTTGTAGTATAGCACAAAGTCCAATTCTCGCATATTCGGAAACGAGTAAGCGCATTGAATCGAAGAGGGAACCTAGATGAAAAGTAGAGCAAGGAAATGATCGGTCTTGGGTTTTGTACTTCAGAGTGGGAAAAGTTCGGGTAATCTGATTCCTGGATTCTCCATTTGGCCTGCTTACAACCTCTTAGGCTTCGCTGGGTTGAACTCCAGACCAGATATGGGGTATAACCCCCCCAGATTTTGACTGTTGGCTTAATCTACAATGTTCAAATCTGATTAACCGTATGGATTATGAGTGACAAATTGAAATTGCCTTTAACGAAAATCGTAGATAGTTGGAGCTGGCTCCTTGATTTGGCAAAATCTACAAAAAGGTTGAGATCGTTGACGACTACCAGCTGTTTAAACGTCTGAAAGCCAAGCTCGATAAAATTCTATTTTAAAAATGTAAAAATAGTGGCGAGATTTTTCGTCAAAAGAAATTCCAGTTCATATGAAACGAGACCTATTAACAAATTGTCTGTAGCCTAATTTTAATTAAAATGTGGTATGAAAGATCATTAAAATCAATCAGACAAGGGGAAGAAATGCTTGCCCCATTTTGCCTCAGTCAGTGATTATTATGGGAAAGCTCTTATATTCCCTAAGTTGTGCTAGCGGTAATATTTATATCAAATTTAAGGCTTTATGGTGGCTATCATTAGCCATTTAGTTGACTTCGGGTTTTACAGAGGGGTGGATCATCACAGTCATAAAGGTGAAGATGAGTAACAGAGGAGTGATTCACATATGTAAAGGAAACAGACACAAAGGTAGAGAAAAATGTGTGGTGAGTACTATGGAAGTGATCAAATATGACATACAGTGAGGTTATGGTAGTTTGGAGTCAGAAGTTAACTGCCGGTTTATAGATTTCTTGATGCGTGAGGAGACAGATCGTCAGAACTTGTTCCGATTGACATGTCACTCATCATACTGAAAGCGATCTCTTATGGTAATAAAAAGATTCTCCTTTTGGTTTCTTTTTATCACATTTTAAACGAGGAATTCAAAGTAAGTCCCTGAAATTTCCAGTTTCACTAAATTGCTATTATGCCCTGTTTATTAAACTATGACAAACGGTTTCACCAAAATCACAGACCAATTAATAATATTAACTAACTAAAGTCGCATTCTTATATTGGATTTCCACAGAAGTGGTACGTAAATTAATCCAGCAACGCTTTTGGGAACTGCAGGTTGGTAAGGAACAATTCAATATTTTGGATGCCCCTTTCGTCACTGGAAAGAACTGCCCTTATGCCACAAACAACAAAAATTTATTTTTATGATCAAAGCAACGAATTCTATCATTTTACCATTTTACTATACGTAATGGCTTAGGAAATAACCAGGTAAAATTACTTAGTTACTATATGCAGATGTAGGGGTCGGAAGTAGTAATGGGTTGTCTTTACTCAATACTGACGTCACCTTCAAAACTCCTTCTTTCCTTCACTGCCTGCTTTGGGAATGGAATTGGACGTCTATTTTGGTCCGTCACCTCAGGTGATTCTACTTTGGGATTATTGGTACTTTATCATATCTGGTTTCCAGATCTATTCGTCTTAGGCGCAACTTCGTGCAGCCCTTTGCTCAAGTTCTCGTCGGTGTCTGGTGTTCTAGGGTAAGGCAAACCTGACGACTTCTCATACTAGGCCTAAAGGCGAAGTTTCCTGCATTGTCGTTTTACCAAGGAATACCACTTCAGTGACCACAGTTTAAGGATATTAATCTGATAATTGAGTGCAGTTATACCTCTTTTCTCATGAATTCGTTGCATTATTTCTTAGTTATTTTGTTTCTTCTTAACTTTCCTTACTAAATTTATGCAAAAATGTTCTTTATGAGACGTGTCCAAGTAATTCAGACTATAATACTTTCTAATTTAAATCACACTACCACGCCAAGTTCCTTTCACCTGCCAATCAAACGTTAGGCATTCGCATTAGTTAGCAGAAGTTAGTTTCGCATCATCTCACCGGTTAACTCAAAAGTTGGATCAAAGGGCAAGTAAATAGTTTCAATTTTATTTTACCATAATAGCAATGCAAGTATAGATCTTTCTATCTTTATGTAACGGGGTGAACATTGATGTACAAGACTTTACCTTTTAGATAGGGCCTCGAAAATAGTTAGAATAACCAGCAACCGTCCTAAACCAGAGATATACAAACAATTCGGTGATGGAAACAGTGAAATCTTGGGAGCCAACTTCCTTCCCTTATTAAGAAAGGAGTGAATGAAGGAGAACACAGGGACCAACCTCCACAGAGGCGGTGATGCTGATCAGTCAAATCTTTTGGACAACCAATCTTTTCCAGACACAAATTTGAACAGATGCAGGCTAGAATAATCGTGTAAGGGGTTTCCACCACTCCTCGAATGTAGATACTCAGAGCTACTCATCGGTAGTCTATTTTATGTGTAGATACTGCAGACCTAACTTCGGCTGCAATGTGCAAATATTTCTCTATTTTATAAGCCTATTAGCAGACATTTTGAGGAAACTTGGCTTACGTAGACGAAGGTTGTCCTGTAGCATCTCCGATAACATTCAACTTGTTAATCAGAATTTAACAGTGCGACAGAACGCTCACAACACTGAACATACACAGATGGGCACCCACCTCATGACCTCTAAATTGGTAAGTATGCACGTTGACGACTACGCCTACATTGTGATACTGTAGGAGTGCCAATTAGAAAAGAAGACGGAAGAGAGGATTGGATACTTTGAATTATTAAACTAACAAAGGTAACTATATTTAAATAAACAAGGTGGAAGGTGGAACAGAGAATTGAATGGGAGTCTAATGGCGCATACCGATGGAATGGCGCCTTATTCGTTGAGGAAGTTGGTGTAAGGCTCCTCATCCTCTGCATCACGAAGTGTTGTGTTGGCACCTCGATCCAAGAGGAGGGTAGTTATCTCACGATAATGACAGGAGCAGGCTGAAATAAGTAATTTTGGAATAGAGGTGTTTGGTATATCTTTGCAAAATTCAAATGGCTTCATTTATATTCCACGTTTTTGCTCCCTGATTTTGCTTTTACTAGAGTTGTACTCTAATCTTTAAACTGCCAAAATTCTCAGTCCGGGAAGCTCATCAAGTGCCATTTTTCGTAAAAGAGTTCACCAACTTGGATCTGTACGTGCAGACGGGCATGTGTAGTAAGGATAAGCTAGCTCATACGTGCGCTCGTCCAAATGATAACATGATGCCTTTCGATCTGTCAAAATGTTTCAACTCCTCTCAAGACCAGTTACACCCTGATTGTTTAGCACTCTGCAGTGCTTCATTGTTTCGCCTTCTACTCCCTACTTCCCATCTTATTCTATCATTCCTCCATGTTATGTGGGCACGCCAGGATTTGGAGTGTGCGGCCGTACACGTAGATCTCTGCTATTAATGTTCACTCAAATTATGTTGTATTTATTTTCATAACTATTCGCATTTTGTCGAAATCATATTTTGAAATAAACGTAATTTAGAGACAATAGGAACCCTTGTTAATAATGCACTAAATCAATAGATAATGATATTAACCACCGATACTTCCGAGGCTATTTTCATTTGGCGTAACGAAACATCACTGTCGACTATTTTTCAGGTGATTTTGAAAACCGGTATTCATGAACAATATGCTCGGCTACAAATAGGATAGTTTGCAAAAAATATTAGCCAATAATCGTTGTGATCGAATGAGCAAAATGCCCACGCATACAAATTTCCTTTAGCTGCATACCAAATTGGGGATGCCTCGCTTTTAACTCTCAACCTCTGATTCGCCTTTCTACATATGCACTTTGTGAGTCCACTACCCACGGGAGAAGGCCCCTACTATCCCTTCCTTGTTTGTGGTGAAGTTCATGCATGGCTGAGATGCAATAGGTGGGAAAGGCCTCTGTCAATGAATCCATGTGATATACGAACAAAGGTCGTGTGTCAATGGCACATTTATTCAAGCTTCAATTGTCCCTACCTTGAGTCTGAAATGACTAGTTAGTAGTGGTCAACAGCAGGACAGCCGAATATGAGATTTTCTCAATTAGAGAAGTTTTTTTCTGTTCAACTATGAGCTTTGAATCATTAAAAATTGTTCATTTATTTATAACTTACAGTAATGAAGTGGAGTTTGCAAATCCTCATCTTGAGCATTTATGTCAGCACCATTTTCAAGAAGTGCCTTTGTAATATCGAGAAAGCCTCTATCCACGGCCCAATGCAGAGGAGTTAAGCCCTGAAAACAAGTGGGAATAATGTAATGAGATGTATAACGATTACTGATGTCATATAAGTAGACGAATATTTAGGTCCTGATTACAATTTTTAATCAATTTTAAATATTTTGCTTAATTGTGAAATGAAATATCGAACTCAGGCAACTGAGTGGTCTTCAATCAGATGACCCAAGTAACGAAATTAAAGTGAAAGGCAAAGAAATTGGAATAGTGGAGAAATTAAGTGGGGATCGAAACACGTGTTTCAAGAGTGTTGATATTTCCCACTTAGACACTAGGTGGTGTGTCAACAAAAGAAACCTAGCACCAGACTACTAGATGCTCCGTTTATAAATGTTTAAACACTCATTTACATCGACATTACGAGGGGGATTCAAGACATACAAATATTATTGTCAAAGAATTCTAATTCAGGACAAAATAGAGCACAAAAATCTAAAGCAAAATCTTCTTTTCACAAATATGGTAATGAGTTACTGAACCACCTCAATCGGTTAGACGGAGGATTGAGCACATTTTAAAGGCGCTCTTAAAAATATTCAACATTGTTCTCAAACGGTCAAGCTTCGTTGACAGGTGGATAGACCTAATCCCGCTCAATAAATTTCCCGATTAATGTGAAAATTCTGTTGGATCTTTGATGGAATTCTGAAAGTTGGTTTCCGTATTGAATCGAGAGTGATATTATAGCGATAAAAATGACTCATGTATTTATCAAATGCAGTTTGGAAAAAGGGAAATGATGTCGAAAAGTAGCAGAAAAAAGCGTGCTTATCAGTTCTAAAGAGAGTGAAATTAATGACACATAATGGTCACGCGAAAGTATGACCGTAAACTTTCATTATTAGTACGACTCATCTCCTATCACTCAAGATGAAATAAGGGTAGATAGAGAAATATGTACGCAGGAGGTTGAAGAATAATTTATGAGCTAAGATACGATATAATAAAAATTAACCTGAATTTCAAAATTTCTATTAATGATTGGGGAAGAATCAACTGCTAATCCAGCCAAATGAGTTTTTTTGCATGGAAGGCATAGAGAACGTTGGAATTATAGAAGGAAGAATGGAAATTATAAAAGTGGGGAAATAAATAAAAATACAGATAAGACAACGCTCGAGCTCATTTTGAATTACACTTGAATAGCGGGGTGTGCGATAGACTTGCCTCCAAGTGATGCACCCTGAGCAACGTATACTCATACTGCAAAAAAGCCTATAAACCAGCAGTTGACTTCTGACTTCAAGCTACCACAACCTCACTGTATGTCATATTCCTCCACTTTCAGAGTACTCACCTTACCTTTTTCTATTTTTATCTTTGAAACACTTTTATTCCCCCCCCCCTCTCGACTTTTTTTCCCATTTGATGTTCCTTCCCTCTGGGAAGCCTGAAGTCAACTAAAGGGCTAATGATAACTATCAAAACGCCTGACATTTGATATAAATAACATTTGAAT